CCTAACTTAGCTCATTTAGTTTACAAACTGCGAGCTGTTTTCCTAACTTAGCTCATTTCAAAGCGCAGTCCTAAGGTATACACTCTCATCTAATCCTAGGATGAATCCCGCAACAGATGGCTAATATCCAGGTAACTACTTACTCCTAGGAGAGTAGGGTCTACAGGTAAAAGGAAACTTGCTCACGTTTCCATCTGTCTGGAATTGAACACTGATGAATGGAATCGACTGAGCTTCGTCTCACATCTTAAGCTGGTTTAAATAATTGAAGAATAGCAAATATAGAGATACAACATCAGATGAGACACAGAGTGGTGGTTTTTTGTTCCACAGAATAGTTGAACAGTTGAATATTTGAGATATAATAACTTACACAAATAACCCGCACATTGGAGAGAGGAGCCCACGACGACGCCTCGGTCAGTGTGACTTTGTAAATGGTCCAAGTCGGACGGAGGCGTCGTCGTGGATTCTTCTCTTCTATGTGCGGGTTATTTGTGTATTGTTCCAGTCACGGTATTGTGCTTTTTGTTATTTACATAATAGCTTTTTTATTGGGAATATCAGCATACACAACCACTGTGATATATTGTAAATCAGTGGTATTCACTACTGACAAGATGGAGAATAAGACTCTTGTGCAACATCTGGGTATCTTGTAGACGTTTCGCCATCTAGTGACTTTATCAGTACTATGTCCATGTATGTATTGATAAAGTCACTGGATGGCGAAACGTCTCCGAGATACCCAGATACTGTGATAAAAGTCTGTGGTGTCATTATTAAACGACTGTATATAGAGGGGGATATATGAATTACAGGATTAAGACAGAGCAAGGGATTAACACGAATTCGGGAGCTGGAGATTCAACCCTGGAAAAAATGCAGCTAGGTAAATACAAGTTGGTAAATACACATAAACACACTCAAACGGGCGGTCGAACGGGGATTGAATCTGCCAATTAAGCAAAGACTGGAGTGTTTGAACACAGTGTTTTAATCGCAAGCAAAATCTCCACTCGAGCAGCAGGGAAAGCCTCCAGGTGCTTCCCATAACAACAACTTAAATAAACATGGCTTCTAGAAATGATAAATACAACTTTAATTTATTCAGGATATGTTGAAAATGCAAAGGAAAAAAACTTGCTTTCACTTATTATTATTAACTTTTTCTCAGTGAAATAAATTTTGGAGGACTGAATTTCGCAGTTATACACAAAAATTATTAAAAGTTCGATTTGCCTGGCAAACTTTTTTTTTCTTTTTTTTCTTTTTTTTGCCCACGTTGCACCTGCGACCTACACCCAATACAAACTTTTCTCCTCAGATTCATGGCATAGCAACGCTAGAGATTTTAAGAGCACAGGGCGCGGCATAAATCGGTTTACCCGCAGTAACTATTGTTACATTTTGCCTTAGTGATTTAATCTGGCACAACGACCTGATTTATATATATATATATATATATATATATATATATATATATAATATATAATATATATATAATATATATAATATATATATATATATATATAATATATATATATAAATATATATGTATATATATATATATAATATATATATATATATATATATATATATAATATATAATATATATACATATATATATATATATATAATATATATATATATATATATATATATAATATATATATATATATATATATATATAATAGTTTTATTGAGACAGTGTTTCCCTATGCTAGGAAAATAAAAAAAATTTGCTCTGTATTTAGGCTTTTTTTTTTTTTTATCTCGAATTCAGCATCACAATCTGCTGAGGTAATGAAGTATGCCGTAAATGACACATTCAGCTGAAGACCTTAATTAGCACGATGCTTGACTTACAAGATAGTATCATGAAGCTGAAAGGTCGTACTATTAAAAGGTCGCCTTGTTTTTCTTCATGTCCGTTTTTTGTTACGGCTGTGTGTGTGTGGGCCAGGACCGGCCTGTCCAGCCATGTAATGTGTGAGCCTTACCGAAATAGCCACGTCAGACGGCATAAATTGTCTCGCCTGTAATGCCTTATATACGACTGGATAACCTACAGTGGGTCGGGCGTTTGTTCTCAGTGATGAACTGCCACCTATGTTATTGGTAATTAAATGCAAACAAGCAAGCTAGCTACACGTGGCGGCCATCAAAAGGGAAAATATATTTTAATTCATGCAAAAATCATAGTTTTATTGCATTAATGATACACAATACCGAGAAGTTGATGAATAAAACACGCGTGCAACATCTGGTTATCGTCATTAACGAAAAGCTTCGCTAAAACAATGGTATATTCAAATTAATACTCAGAATATGCACTGGAGACAACAGAAGTGCAGTGGTAATTCTGAGGTGTTCAAGTCTTGATAAGTGTTCCATCCTTTATCAAGGTTAAGGGACTGAACACGTTCCATCAACCCTGCAGAGGAATATTAAAGGAAATTTCAACAGAACAACAGTAGAATTAATAGAGGATACTTACCAACATAAGGGTCGGCATAGGCTGTGTGAGACACAAGGGTCACTCCAAGTAACAGCATCAATGGGACTACCACCCTTCCGGAGCCCATCACGGAGACCCTGCTGAAGGAGACAGATATTATTATTATTATTATTATTATTATTATTAGTAGTAGTAGTAGTAGTAGTAGTAGTAGTAGTATTACAATAGTGGGGTAGTGTTAAGCCCGTAGGGGTAATACAACTAGAAATGCTAGACGCAAGTGCTCCATTTACCTCAAGAAATGGCAAACATTTGAGCCAAAGTCGATTAATCACAAGATACACTACACAGCTGTACTTACTAACGACTCTTGCACACAATATTTGGTGAGTGAAAGGTGGACTGTTTTTGGTGTCATGAGACTAACTCACGGTCCACCAGCCATGAAATTTAACATTTAATGATTATATAGCACAAAGGTGTATACACTGCTCCTCCGTGTGTGTTTTTTTTTTTCTTATTTTACTCTAAAGGCATTTGACGTATGTTGCACACACCCCTCCCCCCAAAACACACACGTTTGCTAGTTTATAGTCGTGTTTACACCCTGAGCTCCCCCAACAAAGAGCAGCAAACACCACTGTTTGTCACGAAAAAGCTCTTGGTGCACTGTAAAACTCACATTTTTTATCAATTTAATATTCTTAATTTTTAAAGCATCTACGCCATATTCTTTATGGCTGAAGATTTATTCCAAGCGTTTTCGTGAGAAATCACGAAAGCTCTTGGAATTTCACAATTTGTTCACAGCGGTTGTTCTGCATATTGTGATATCACCTGTTTACTGTGATCATATATGTCGTGCCGAATAGGTAAAACCTGCGATTTTGGCATAAATAGCAACGCTCTTCTTGCCGAATAAGGCAAGCAAAAATTTGTGTAAACTTATCTAAAATATATTTAGTTGAATTAGGCTAAATTAAATTGAGCTTGTTATAATAAGGTTAGGTAAGTTTTCTAAAAATCTTTTGGTACAAAATTATTAATTTTTACATTAACATAAATGAAAAAAATATATCTTTAAACGAATTAGAGAAAATTTTGGAAAGGACTTAATTTTAAATGAGTTCTTGCTAACTGACCGATTTTACCTATTCGGCACGACATATATAATGTATATATATATATATAAATAATTATGTAGCGTTGAGTATAACCTTATCTGTGTGTAACGAACAACAAAGTCAATGTCCAAATTAATGCAAATTTTGGAAAGATAAGTCCAGGTGTAACTAAGGGCAGCTGGGTCGAACTTTTAGGCGACATACATAAAAAAATCTGAAATAAATAAAACAAAATGTTATTTATTGGTATGCACTATACTCAATAAAGATTAAAAGCGTCAACGAAAATTATTAACCAACTTAGATGAGAAAAAATATATAATGGAGTTTACAAGCGGAAAATATTACGTTTTGAGATATTTAATGTGAGAATAATCCAAAGGTCCATGTAAAATATATAGTTACATGAAGATTAAATTTATATTTTATCACCTGGACGGCTATTTTATTACCCAACCTATGGTTGTTCTCTGGAAGGTAGCGCACGAGCATGTGGAAACACAGTAGGCAAGAAAGTAAGAAAAATTATGATAATTTAGACAATGAAACAGGAAGAATGATTCGAAACTTCAAAGCTATTTCTAAAGATTTTTTCTAAGGTGAGGTGTAAGAAAACGTTGAAGGTCACGATATGATATTTGTCAGCGACGGTCGAATGACTAGAAGCAATAAAGAAACTATTGTCGTACTCAACACAACTTTCAGCTTGTCCTTCGTAGTTGCAAATATCACGAATATGTCTACACCACCACATTATTTCCTCGTGGAGGCTTCCAATCGTTACGCTAAATACCAAGGTCAGCGGCCAAGACGTGTTAAAGTACCTAGTGTGCCTGATTGACCAGGCCTTGATTCATTGAAAGGACTGATCATGGACCGAGCTACTGGGGCGTTGACCCCCGGACACCCTCCAGATATACTCCAGGTAGCTGTTTGAATCATGAAAGAATAAGCGGAAAATTGTTTACCCTCTAAAACTAATATTTACTAAATATAGAAGATGGCAGTGAACCAAGTGACTGACAGCAAATGACTGTCATTTAGATATTATAAAAAGAGAGATGACAGGTGTCCTAAATTCCTACCTAATTAATATTCCATCGCTGTCAAAGTCACTAATAATTCCTTCATTAGGAACAGACTCGTAAAAAATTTTTTTAGAGAGAATTTGTTAAAAAGGAAAATCATCATAGATCTCCTAATTAAAGTTCCTCTCTTGAGTTCCAGAAATTCTTTAAAAGAACATCGTACAAAACACTATTGGGCAAAGTAATATTACATAAACAAGAAAATACTTTTAGACCGGCATCAACGACTGATTCAAAGACAAAAGGAAAAAAAACGAGCAGTTTTTCAACTCAAAATGCATCTTCTTGGATGAATATAACGAGTTTGCTTCGGGGATCAGACTTCGGTTCAATCCGCTTCATAATTTTTAATCTTGAAATGGGGCTAATTTAAAAAATCGCAAAGTTCGGAAGGGCACAAAAACACGCAAAGATTGACTGTGGATGCATTCAGAAGTTTAGATAAGATGGCTTTTAACTGAAGACTGCGGAAATTGATCATAAATTACAGGTAGATATAAAGTAATAAAATGTAGGTCAAGAATTAGTACAGGAAATATAAAAAGTCTTCAGTCCTGGAGCGACATTAAGAATGAGCTCAGTTACGCAAAATAATTACTTTCTTAGACAAGAAAGATATGGAAGATTAGGGAGATTTGTTTCAATATGTACAAGTGCAGAGTAATGCATTTTTCTTATAACCCTGACAAACATGAATATAAAGTGTTTGGAAACCAAGTGAGACGAAGAGAGAGAAGAACCCCTGGATATTCGTACTGACTTAAGTGCAACAAATACTATCGAGCTGTGAGCAACACAGCCAAAACAAAGCAAGTTGTTGTATACAACTCTGGATCAATGCTTATTAATCCTCGGTTTTAATATGTTCTTTGGCTTTAGTCTTCGAATTACAAGAAATACAAAGATAAATTAGAAAGCTTGCAAAGAACATCATTAAATCTAATACTTTTATTTAAAAAAGATAAACATAACGAAGAAAAACTCGTATTAAACCTGTTTTCAGATGAAAGCCGGAGATTGTGAGTTATCACTCAAGCCTTGACGATAACAAATTTGATACTCAAATAAGAACAGCTTCCTGAAGTGCAAAGTCATTAGACAACACTAAACACTGGAATAAAATCCCTGGGCAGGAGATGCATTGTAGACATGAGCAATTTATTTTGAAATCGTCTTATAAGAATGGAACACAATAAACACCTTATATCAAGGCTGATTGATTACCTCATTTTCCACTGTCTCCAGTATGCAATATTCTTACTGAATTGAAAAGTCACTCGTTGTCAAAACATCACAATAACGATAGCTATGTGTTGCGTATAACGAATTCATCAACACTGCCCTCCAGTGCTGTTAGGGCAAACACAATGCATGTCTTAAAGAAACAGTCGGATAAGTACTTCGCAAATATTAGCTTCAAATATGCAATGTGCAAGGGCCTGTCTCGGTACACAGAAACCTCCTTCCCAGTACCCCAGGGGACCGATCACACACCTGACCTTCTTACTCAGGTTATTCATACTGGCTGCACACTGCCCGGCGTAGGTATATTCCTTCTTTGAAGGAATAGTGCTAGTTCCTCTTGAGGACAGCTATTGGACAGGTTAGTTTATGTGGTTTAAAGCCTATCAATTACAGGAAGGTTATGACTGCGTGTAACCTGTTCACCACATGTATCTCTCAGTGTAGGGTTAGGTAAAGTTCGTCAGGAAACACGAAAAGCGTTTCCTGACGCGGGTCTTAGTCATATGATGACCCGGAGCTTGGAGCTTTTGGTCATTTGACCGAGGCCTTCTGCTGGCTTATTTATAACCATTTTATCTTATAAGGCTCTCGGTGTATATGTAATGTAATATTTGGAGGGAGGGTGATGAAAAGTCTTGGCCCCTTTATGCTTATTGAATTACCTCTTGGGCTGATATCACAGGTCTGGAAAAAGTACTTTCAGTATTTTCCAGGTTAAAGTAATGATATTTATTTTTGGACCATCACTCAGAAATTAGTTTTAGAGGTATTATGTCCAGTAATTTAGATCTTGTCTAAATACGGGTAAAGGAAAACTAAATTTCAAAGATATTTTGCAAAATACTGGAATCCAGCAGTTAGTCCATGGATTAATTTACTCTCTCTCTCTCTCTCTCTCTCTCTCTCTCTCTCTCTCCTCTCTCTTCTCTCTCTCTCTCTTCTCTCTCCTCTCTCTCTCTCTCTCTCTCTCTCTCTCTCTCTCTCTCTCTCTCTCTTTACACAGGGTTTGACAAGGTTGGGTTAAGGATCCCTAGCTTTATTGACAAGCTAAGAGCTGTTACCTACATCAGTTCATTTGAAAGCATTTTTATTGCTATGAAACATACAAGTAGGGAACAGGATGAAGTTGGAGCCATCTGTGGGCCAGCATTTTCATTTGATCAACTGGCTTTATCTCGTTGACATCATAATGCTGTACGAATGTGTTCCAGACTCGAGTCATCCCGGGGATAAATGATCTCTGATAAAGTGATGTTCTGGAGAAGGGTACAGCCAGAGTGAAGTTGCTGCTGGCTGCCCGTCTTGTGGTATAGAAGCTTGCTTCACGCTGTCTGTCTTTCTCTTTACACAGGGTTCTACAAGGTTAGGTTAAGGGTTACTAACTTTATTTACAAGCTAAGAGCTGTTACCTACATCAGCTCATTTGAAAGGTCTTTTTAGTGTTATGAGATATACAGATAAGGAACAGGATGAAGTTAGAGCCATCTGTGAGCCAGTGATTTCATTTGGTCAACTGACTTTAACTTGTTGATGTCGTCGTGCTGTAGGAACATATTCCAGACACTAGTAATCTTAGGAATAAATGATCTCATATGAAGCGATGCTCTGGAGAAGGGTACAGGGTTGTTTGTTGCTCTCTCTCTCTCTCTCTCTCTCTCTCTCTCTCTCTCTCTCTCTCTCTCT